TCATGGGGGGGGGGGAATATTTATTTTTTACAAGTGAATTACGTGGCAAAAGGCATGTAATTGGTCAGCAGAAGACCTAGGAATTGTGTTTGGACACCACCACCATCTCAAAGTCCACAGGAGATATTTGGTTTGGATAAATTAATGCCAATGCTGATTTGCAGGGCAAAGTTGAAAAACTGACGCCACACAAATATCCGAGATAATGCAGGGTGAAAACAGCTATGTTCTCTACAGACCTTGAAAAAGCTACTTTCTTGACTTTTTACTCTCAGAATGCATCTACACTGTAGAAATAATGCAGTTTGATGCCACTTTATGTGCTGGAGCTCCATCCTATGGAATCCTGGGATTTGTAATTTTACAGGGTCTGTAGCCTTCTGTGTCAAAGGTTGCTGGTGCCTCACAAAACTACAAATGCCATGATTCTTTGGATGTAGCCATGGCAGATAAAGTGGTGGCAAACTGCATTATTTCTACACCGTAGATGGTGCACCCTGGAGATTCAGCATGATCAGTAGACAGGTTGGCTGGAGGATTCTGGAAGCTGTAGTCTGGAAAAGTAATTTTTCCAAACTCTAGCTTTGTAGAGAAAGCCCTGCTATACAGGGAATAAAAAAAGAAGAGTTTTATTGAGTGCACCTGCTTTAGGGAATCCTTTTGCATACATGTTTGGGAGTTATTCCTTTTTAGTCTTGCAGACAAAAGCTGCTTCACTTATTTTCTTCTAAACAACAGTTCCATTGATTTCAGCATAAGTGAGATTTACCCTTTAAACAGGGTATGTGTGTACAATTTCCAACATGATGAAAATGTGTCACATTTCTTTTCTTTTTAGGTAGTAAACCATGACTAGGTGTAATAGTTAAGGCACCATAAATTTAGAGCATGAGCTATGAGGAGAAGGAAAGCTCAACTTAGTTATGAACTTAGAGCCAGCATAGTATGGTGGGTGGAGTGTTGGACTATGATTCTGGAGACCAGGATTCAATTCCCAGCTCAGTCATGAAACCTTGGACAAGTCACATGCTCTCAGCCTCAGGGGTGGGCAATGGCAAGCATCCTCTGACCAAATCTTGGTGATGGTGGTTCACCTTATGGTCACTGTAAATCGGAAATGACTTGAAGGCACACAACAACAACAGTTATGAACTCACTGGGTTCTCTTCAGTAAACCACTGTACGTCTCAATCCGGGATCATTTGTCTGTGAGATAATATCACTGTCTTATCTTAAAACAGGAGCCAGTGTGGTGTAATGGTTTGAGTGCTGGATTATAGCTCTGGAGATCAGGGTTTGATTCCCTGCTGGACCATGGAAATCCACTGGGAGATCTTGGGTGAGTCACAGACTCTCAGGTCTAGATAACCTGGTGATAGGGTTGCCTTAGGCTCTCCAGAAATCAGAAACAACTTGAAGGCACACAACAACAACAATCTTAAAGTAGAATTAAGGAACCTGTGGACTTCCAAATGTTAATGGACTGCAATTTCCATATTCTGTCACAATTGACTATTAGTTAGCTAGAGCTGCTTTAACAGTTGATTTGAGAATAAAATAACACATGTGAAGCATTTTTCAGCAGCAATGAAAAGAACTATGGCTGGAATTCTCTGTCATGGTCTATGTTATATAACATTACATATACTTAGCTACTTAGCAGGGACTCTAAGAAACCCAGTTAGTGAACTGATTGTGTATCAGGGCTGAACAAGATGTGTATTACACTCTGCCAATGAGCAGCAGCACTCTTTGTTCAATGTGCTGATGCACATCAATCCCATTGTATTTTGGTTATATTGCGCATCAGTCACTTCACTGGCTGTCCTATGCAGTAACATCAGGGCAGCCCTTTGCTGAATATGCATATTTAGAAACTTCTCAGTCCTGTTTCCCATGAATAGAATAGAAGGGCTTTTGAGTCCAACCCCTGATCAATGCAGTATTTCCAGATGTATGAACACTTACGAAGACATGTGTCCCTTACTAAATTCTGGCCTAGATACATATTAAATATTGTTACATTTCTTTATCAGTTATTAAATCCATTTGCTAGTCCCAACAGGAGTAGATCAGTTGATTCAGCAAGATTCGTGTAAATTTTGACTCACCATTCACCAGCTAAATGGTAAGATATTTTTTATACAACTCTGCAGTTATTCTCCCAGGGTAGTTAAACAAACAAATCAATAAAACAATTGAAATGTTAAAAAGAGACAAAATATAAGCAGTTCAAAAGTAACTACTATAATTCCCCCCCCCCCTTTTCCCCTTCTATGCACAATGCATCAATCTTCACCGATCCTGTTTAGATACCATTGCAAAATTGCCTTCCTGTGCCAAGGTGCTTAGCATATCAAGGAGAGAGGTTGTAATATTCTCCCTGATGCACTAATTTCTGTTATCATGAAAGGGGTTTAGTTTGCCCCCCCCCCCACTTTTCTTTGTTTGCAGGACATTCAGATGTATGCTTCCTAGTCCTTATTTTCCTTTCCATGGAGGACATATTACATATTTTTCTGAATGTGTAAACCTAAGAGTTAGGAAAACAATCTGTTTCCAGAACCATTATTATCCTGTAGAGGTCTTTGCCTCAATGTGTTTGTGTGTGTAGTTTTTCTATGAAGTAGGTGAAACTTTCTGTTGCCCTGCCAGTGAAAATAAAATTAGTGTTAAAGTGAATCATAACGAATTTTTGACAGAATTATGAAGGTGAAAACAATGACAGTGTCCAAATTCAAAATAACAAAATATTTCCAATTTATAAAGTAAAAGCTAGCAAAAATCCTTGCCCTCCTGTGAATGGCCTTCATCATTTTCTTTCCTTTTGTTTTGCTCCCACCAGTTCTGAGGAATGAGATAATGGCCATCTGAGTAATTTAAGAGATTATTGTTAAGATAAGATCTTAATCTTTTTGGGTAAGAAAAGAGCTCCACCTGGAACTAGAATGGAGATTCTCCAATGGTTAGTGTAAAATATGTCAGTGATTTGTGTCTGTATCATTGAGAAGATTACAGTCAGTGTTCATGGTTGTGGGTAGGGACAGTGTGAGCTTGCAAGATCCAGGTTCATACTAGACATAAATCTTCCAGTCTCTGAAATTCTTTTGCGTATTTGACAAGTGAGCACATTCCACTCTTGCATATGCCATCCTCTCATCACCCCACTCCACCCCTGACACCTCTTTGCACTCAAAACCTTTCTTTCTTTCTTTCTTTCTTTCTTTCTTTCTTTCTTTCTTTCTTTCTTTCTTTCTTTCTTTCTCTTCCCAGTAGAAGCACTGCCAGTGGCTGAGAGATGGGAGAAGGATTCTCTTCTCGGCATTGTCACCCACAGCAAAGCTGGACATGGTTAACTGGACTCTGCAAGGGGTACTTTACTCAAGGGTTCCTGCAACCATGAGGTATCTAATAATGTCTTCCACATCTAAGAAACAGGTGCCATTGACCAAACACTGGGGAAAGAACTTTCATACCACACCAGGTAGAACATCTTTAGCTGAGGTAATTCAAACATTCATTTGTGAGTCACTGGATGATGACTTCTATAGGACAAGTCATATTAGTCTGCTATAACAGAAATATAAAGGATCTTGTAGTACCTTAAAGATGTGTATATTTATTGCGGAATAAACTTTTGTAGGTTAGAGCCTACAGTGTTGCTGGTCTCCATCATCAGACTTCAACAACAATACATTTCTAAGGGAGGTTTCCTTGTGAAATTCCTGATGGATTTATAGCTTGGTTCTGCACTGCTATGGGTTATTCAGAACTGTGGATTTACTCCCCATTGCAGATGTCCTGTTAGGTAGAAAGATACTGTTCTCAACTGTTGTAAAATTGGTGATTCTTTTCATGCCTAGTATGCATTTGGGCTCTACATGGACTTACTGCTGCCTTTTTCACTTCACAGCCTTGTAACTCCCACCATTTAATATATTTTTTTCTTGAATTTGTGTGTGCACAGGTATGTATAATATATTTACATAGTTTACCAATTCAGGATATCACTTCACACATCTGATAGAAAGATCTCATTCTGTGAAAGCTTATGCCATAATAAATCTTTTACCCCTTAAAGTGCCACAAAACTCTTTTCTGGGTGATGAAATATCAAGCCATGTGTATATGAATCAGCTCTTAGTGTACTCATCACAAGGACAGAGAAGTGACTTGTGATAAACCTGAAGGCAGATATCACATTCCCCAGCCTAACCACAATGAATGTATCGAGTATTCATGTTCCCTCTGCCTCTCCTGAATACTAATAGTGATCATACAGGAGAAGCCTTCTTCTACCTGGTAAATGTACAGTGATCAGAGAGGAGGAGGGGTGACTTGGGAGGAAAAGAGGGTAAGAAAATTTAAGAGGTGGAAAACTGGAAGAGTCTCCCTTACATTCATCTGGCAATAACCTATATAGGTTTGGTCTGTCTGTTGGATGTAACAGAGCTTCAGCACCAGGTGGGGCATGCCACCACACGGTGCAAACATTTGCCTGCTCTAGCATGCCCTGTTCCCACAGGTTAACTTCGCCCTCTTTCCCATACAACACAGGCCCAAAAAAAGCCACACAGAACTGTATGTTCTCCTGGGTGTTTTTAACCACACACTTCCTCTTACTAGTTTATTTTGTTTCTGCACTGGAGCTGATGTTTGACTGGTGGTGGAGGGAGTGGAGCTTGTGGTACTACTGACTAAACACACCACTTCTTCATGGAGAGTGCTGTTTCAGCAGGCACACATCTACTGTTGTTGTTTTTAAGTCTAACCCAAGTTGCAGCTGCCTCCTAGAACAAATCTCAATTGTAGCTGATAAGAGGAATTCCAGACACAACCAACAGCCATAGTAGTTTGTAGCTATATCCTCAGTAGTCATTAACGAAATGAAGGCTGCATGTTTCTTGAGTGATGTTTCCAGTTGTGTAATTTGATTCTATGAAAAAGGGGAAAGAATGCATTTATTTTATGGTGGGGGGGAGGGATATGTTAGTTGAAGTTTCCATTGTAGTTAATTATAGCTTTGTTTGTAAGAATATTGTAACTGTGTAGAGGTGTCCTAACCTGTAAGAGCATTGTTGTTGTTGATTGCCTTCAAGTTGATTTCGACTTGCGGTGACCCTATGAAAGAGGGATCTCTAAGTCACTCTATTATCAGTTAGAAGCTCAGGCATACCAAACACAGGGCCATGGCTTCCTTGATTGGGTCTATCCACATATAATGTGGGCTTCCTCTTTTCCTATCTTTTTAGTCAGTCATGTCTTCTTATAATGTGTCCAAAACACAACAGTTTCAGTTTAGTCATATTGGCTTCTAAGGAAAGTTCAGGCTTGATTTGCTCTGGGACCCATTTATTTGTCTTTTTGGCAGTCCATGGTATCCACAGAACTCTTCTTGTAAGCATATGTTCTCCAACATTCACAGATGAAAACTGAGACACATGTGGCTAAGCAATATAAGTGTGTGGCCAAAAGGGTTTACCCAGGCAAAAAAAGGGCTATAGTTATTGACGAAGCAAAACACAAAAAGTAATGCTTTAAGAAGAGAAGTACTGGAATTTACATGCTGAGTTTAAGAAAGCCTGAGCCCACTAGGAAGGGCAAGACTCCATCCACTTCTCCCTTCTCCATCCTAATGAGTTGAGTTAACTACTTTGCACTTTGAACTCAGTTTGTAGCAACTGAGCAAAGTCAGAACAAAGAAGGAAAGGAGAGAAAGGGCCTGTACAGACTGCCAGAAATAATCCAGCTTGAGGCCACTTTAACTGTCCTGGCTCAATGCTAGGGAATCATGGGAATCATAGGTTTTTTCTGAGACATTGAGCCTTCTCTGTCAGAGAGTTCTGGTGCCATAATAAACTATAGTTCCCATGATTCCCTAGCACTGAGCCAGGGTAGTTAAAGTGGTCTCAAGCTGGATTATTTCTGGCAGTCTGTACAGGCCCAAATTGGAACATTTTAAAAGCAGCTGAGGAAGCGGAACAGTAGAGGATCAACTAGGGATGTTGCTGTCAAACTGGGACATTGGTGGAGGATATGTAAGCATATTCCCCTCATTAGCATTTATTTAAATTGGTGACCAGTCTCTTGCTCCGAGTGAGTGCCTACACCACTTAACAACTGAATGTATCTAGGACTTGTTGGACTAATTCAGGCATTGTAGAACTTTTTGAACTTACACAGACAGACTTCATATCTACAGAAAGAAGCCTCTGGTTAAGTGAGGGGGGAAACCTGTTGCTTTCCAGAAGTTATTGGAATGAAATTCACAGCATCTCACACCACTGGCTAGGCTAGCTAGAGCTGATGGTCGCT